AAACTTACCAAGATTGTCATTGGATGCAGATGAAACCTCCGCAATTGTTTCATCGTCTATTGTCGGTGCCCGAGTTTGAAAATCTTCTAAACGTCCTCCAGTATCGACTCCATAAATAGAAGATTCGTCGTTATAAAGCACTTGTTTTCGTTTTCTATTGACAATGTCATTCATATCCATTTCATTTAACTGCATTTCCCGGTAAAAACACCGCCATCGCTACCACTACCGTCTATGTGATGAATTTCGGTTGTTTATGTTCATTATTTATGTTTTCAAGATATAAATCCTCAGCACTTCCTATCACTCGAAGAATTTTTTCGTAATCAATATCTCCAGATATAATAATGACCTAAAGATCAGTGATAATTAAGTGATAACATTTTATGTATCAGTGATAACATTTTTTTTTTATAAAGATTACATTTTTTATAAGATTACACCAATCTTAGTCCAGAGATCCACAGCTTAGCCGGAGCATGCCACCTCTACTAAATTTTAGGGTTATTTCAGGAAATACTCGGGCAATGGCCGTAAAATTTAATTATTTAAAATTGATTACCATGTTATTTAAATGGTAATATTTTTTATGATAATTGACGATTTTTTCCAAAGTAGATTTATCTCGAATATCTTCTAACCGTCCTCCAGTATCGACTCCATAAATAGAAGATTTGTCGTTATAAAGCACTTCTTTTCGTTTTCTATTGACAATGTCATTCATATCCATTTATTTAACTACATTTCCCGGTATAAAACACCGCCATCGTTACCACTACCGTCTATGTGATGAATTTCGGTTGTATATTGCTCTTCCTATAATGCATTTGCCAACGCAATTTTAAGCCTAGTTCTTAATGAGCCGTAAATTACAACTCTAACATTGTCATTGTAGTTTACTTGTGTGATGATTCTGTATTTGTCACAATTCGCATAAGTAGTTAATATTATAAATAATATTGTTAAAAAGTACAATTTAATCATTGTTTATATATTATATCTGCAAATATGGACCTATTAATGAAAATTAATATTCATAAAGTATTTTTAATAGGTAGGTTTACTAGGTACTAACAAGTGGCGGAAAGTCATGAGATTGTTAGATTATTTGTTAATTTTATCTCTAATCATTTGCATAGTAAATGGACAGCCAACTAGCCTAGCAAATGATGAATTTTATATTATAGACAAATCAAAGACTTGATTAAGACATAATAAGCTTGATTCAAGTTTATTTTAATTAATAATTCTTATCATCCTGTAATAATTGAAAAATATTATTATAAATCGAACAACTATATTTATAATTAGCGTAATAAGTCAAAAATTTTTAAACACTTTTCTTATCTCTGATACATGGGTTAGAAAATTTACCTCATAAAAGTTGCTCTTTACATCATGCAATGTTGTATGTACTGGCCAAACATTCAGTTCTATAGTATTGATATCAATAGTGTTTAATTTCTCTAACTCCTTGAGTTTAAATAATACAATATCATTATTTTTTGGTCTATTCATCTATAATTGTTAAATTTTTATTGCTTATGTTAATTTCTTGACAAAATTTTTAAAGAAAATAGGACCACACGCGGCGGAAGGAATGAAAAATTATTTTTATTTCTTTATTTATTCTATTTTTTTATAATTATTTATATATTATTTTATTTATATATTTTTTATTATTTATATATCTCATATTATTTATATATTCATTCTATTTTATTATTTATATTATTTGATTATATTTATTTTATTTATATATTATATTTGAGAAAAAAGGCGCTACTCGTTTGTGTGTGTGTAAGTTTTAAAAAATAAAAGCCACTGCTTTTCGGTTTTCGTCTGTAAAGAAAACAAAAAGGAACGCACATATTAGCTGGATCCAGTTCCGAATAACCCCGATCCTAACTTTTTTGTTCAAACCCTCCTAAAATAAAATTCAACCCGACGCCTCCGACAATCTTAATAGGCCACACAGTGTGGCATTTTATTAAAAGATATTAAAAAAATAAAAATGGCATTTTTATTTTATTAAAAGACACAGTGTGGCATTTTTAATATCGTTTATTGTTATCTTTTATTTAATTTAATTCCTACTTATAATTCCAGTCTTATTTCCATTCACCTTAAAAAAATAAATTTTTTAAAATTATTTTCATTCAGACCAAATTTTTGTTTGCCCCTTTTTTCCTTTTTTTAAAGTAACAAGCAAATTCTTTTTAAATTTTAATTATCTTCTTCATTTTTTCAAAACCAATCTTTATTTTTCTTCCTGTTTGTTATATTATATTTGATTGTTTATTTATTTATTATTATTTAAATCTCCGTAAGAGTACTTCTTCTTATTTTAAAGACAAGCTTTTAACGCAACTTGCGAAGCTTTTAACCAAAACTTTTAAAAAAAACAAAGCTTTTAACCCAACATGGTACTTTATGGATATGTCATCCCCTTCTATTTTGAGTTTCAGAGTTTTCCTTATGCGTAGAAAATGGTCAGAGATTATTTTCTTCTCCATGTCAATGACAGGTGTCATTCAAATAGAGGGTGACATTTTAATAGAGTAAATACGGTAATCTAACAATCTCATGACTTTCCGCCATTTGTTAGTTTAGGTTATTTTTTTCAAGTTTTTGTTCAAGTTAAGAAAAAACCTTCACTTTTACGTTCTTGAAATAAAAAAAAGTTGAAGGGAAAAGATAAAAAAAACTTTAAAATGATTATTTATCTTAAGAAAAACAGCTGGTTCGTCCTGAGGGTTTTTCAGTTTAATGGATAGCCAAAATTTTAGTCAAAAAATGTCCAAACATTTTAAAAACCTGGTCTTTATGGATATAACACCCCCTATTTTGAGTCTCAGAATTTTCCTTATGCGTAGAAAATGCTCAGAGATTATTTTCTTCTCCATGTCAATAATTTTTTTCTTCTTCAAGTATTTTGCTTGTTTATTTTACCTTTTCACACATTTTGTACTTACATTTCACTCATTTCGTTTCTACATTTACCACATTTCACTTAGCTTGCTTGAAGAAAGAAAAATGATTGACATGGAGAAGAAAATAATCTCTGACTATTTTCTACGTTTAAGGAAAACTCTGAGACTCAAAATAGGAGGGGGGTCTCACTTTTTACTTATCTACAAGAGAGAAGAAAAAAAGTAGTGTCAGTAAAAATGGCCAAGCCTGGTGCCAGCCGGACTGAGTGACCGACTTGGGCTGGCACCAAAATCGTTAATGGATTTCCCATTTCTTCCGAAATGTGTGGTCCTTGTAATTTTTTTATTTTTAAAAACGTACACACACGCAAAAGTGTGTGTACTTTTTCCCCAAACCCGTTTAAGCGAAATTAAAAAATAAAATAAATAAAGAAAAAAATAAAAATAATTTCCCGTTCCTTTCGCCGCGTGTGGTCCTAGTACAAATTTTTATTTTTTAAAGAAAGACACCAGCATCTTTACCATCACCGTCAATATGATGGATTTCTGTTGTATAGTCTTTATTGATACTGTCTTTGCACGGGATTGAAATGGTTTAATAAATCCTTCAGGGATTCCTTTAAAATATAATTCTTCAGCATTTCCTATCACATGGAGAATTCCACCACACGCGGCGGATGCAAATCTATTTAATACTGTCTTCTCAGATGCTTGGTGCGCAATTATAGAAATGCCAATACCTATTTAAAGTGTAAGTACACGTCTTAAATGGACAAAACATATTCTGTACATATTATGTAGTCCAAAACATTCCAAAATTAATTGTTGTCTTTAAAATAGGACCAGTTGTATTTGCCAACGCAATTATAAGCTTCGATCTTGTTGAGTTGTAAATTATAAAACTAACATCGTCTTCATAAGTTACTTGTTTTATTCTTATAAATTTTTCACAATGTATATATGTTATTATTATTATGAATAAAGTTGTTAAAGTGTATAATATTTTCATTTTTTATGAAATTATTCTCATTTTTTATTTTTTTTTAAATATGTTTTCTCCATTTTTATGAAATTATTTTCATTTTTTATTTTTTTAAAAAATATGTTTTCTCCATTTAAGACGTGTACTTACACTTTAAATAGGTATTGGCATTTCTATAATTGCGCACCAAGCATCTGAGAAGACAGTATTAAATAGATTTGCATCCGCCGCGTGTGGTGGAATTCTCCATGTGATAGGAAATGCTGAAGAATTATATTTTAAAGGAATCCCTGAAGGATTTATTAAACCATTTCAATCCCGTGCAAAGACAGTATCAATAAAGACTATACAACAGAAATCCATCATATTGACGGTGATGGTAAAGGTGCTGGTGTCTTTCTTTAAAAAATAAAAATTTGTACTAGGACCACACGCGGCGAAAGGAACGGGAAATTATTTTTATTTTTTTCTTTATTTATTTTACTTTTTTATTTCGCTTAAACGGGTTTGGGAAAAAAGTACACACACTTTTGCGTGTGTGTACGTTTTTAAAAATAAAAAAATTACAAGGACCACACATTGCGGAAGAAATGGGAAATCCATTAACGTTTTGGTGCCAGCCCAAGTCGGTCACTCAGTCCGGCTGGCACCAGGCTTGGCCATTTTTACTGCCACTACTTTTTTTCTTCTCTCTTGTAGATAAGTAAAAAGTGAGAAAAATGGAGAAAAGAATAAAAGGAGAAAAAAGCCAGTGAGCGGGATAGAAATAAATATATAAAATAAATTTTTGCGTTTGGTTATTTTAGTTTGTGCCAGCCGGTGCTGACCAGTGGTCACTCAACTATAGAAAAAAGTAGGGAAAGAAAAATAAATGGAAGAAGAAGAGAAGACAAAAAAACAAAAATTATCAAAAAAATAAGTCCGAGAAGACTGTGCTTTAGAAAGGATTAAAGAATATCACACGAAATATTACCACCTTAATAACTTGGTAATTAATTTTAATTTATAGATTTATCATCTAACTTATGCCTAGATATTACCTGAAATAAGGTGCAATTTAGTAGGATGCTGCAGCGGTAGGATTCTTAATTGGTAGGATTCTGCAGCGAGTGAATCTGCAAGTAAGTGAATATCAGCGAGTGCACACATCCTATTAACAAACACATAAAAGCGATTAAGGGGTTCAGCACTTTTTCGAAAGAATATTTTCCTGAGATATTCAAATATTCCAACCTAAAAAAATACAAAATAAAATAGTGTAAAAAACCGCCTTGCCAAAACTGCGGTCGGCAGCTATAGAACTTGTGAGAATAAATATGGCCATCCAACATATTTATGAAATTCGTATTTCAAATACATTAAAATTTATTTACTCTCGGTGGTTAAAGCATGGGCGTATTTAAAGGGATTAGGGTTGTTATGTACGTGACTTCTGTCTACGTACTAACAAGAATAATAAGCTAAAACAGTAACAAACAACTGTGCTTTATCTAAAAGAATATATACAATAATAGCGAACAATAGGAATATGGCTAACGTCGAATATGTGGAGTACTAGAATAAGACTAACTGAATAGAATAACGACTAAGAATAACACTAACGAATACTAACACCCGGATGGCTAAAGCCGCAGCTTTTTATACTAAGCACTGTCGGCTTTGAAGAAGTGTGTCTCTGCCCATGAAATCTAAAACGTCTAATTATGTTGTCAAACTCGATTAAAATACTCGATAAACTGTTCTTTGTTTTTATAAATTCATTTTACCCCACCTCCTATACAAATTTTTTACACATAAGACCAAAACGAGGGCTTCGATAAGGGGTCATAAAAACAATCCATAAGGGTTCGAGAATATTTCTTGAAGTATTGTACCCCGATTTTCTGTTTATTTTTGAGATATGACATTTCGATGAAGTTACAGACTTCTTTATACTTTTCTACTCAGTATCGATGTAATTGTTAATAAGAATTTTTATAGAATTTATGGAAGAACGAAAATTGATACTTTTAATTTTAAATAGTTTGAGTCAAGACTTTTCTTGGCCTCAAAAATGAATAATCGTTGTTCGAAAACAATTAACTTTTATATTTTTAAAGTAAATGTTTTCGGAAAGAGAATTAAAAATGGTATAAACCCATGTCATACTAGCAGAAAATTTAAAGAAAAACGAATCTTATAACCCCCTTTTCCTCTCTACCTTCCTCAAAAAATTAATAAAAACCATAAAAATTCAAAACCAAAACTTCTTCATTTCACAAAATTGCTTCACCATTTCTCGAATCTCAGCTCCAATAAAAAATCAAAGACAAGAACACAAGAGTAGGGACCATCAACAACATCAAAATTTTTCATTCGACAACGGTACACGACTAATAGGCGCAGCCGAATAGGCGCAGACGAATAGGCGCAGCCGAATAGGCGCGGAGACAAATAGGCGCGAGACGAATAGGCGCGGGACGAATAGGCGCCCGAAGTTATTTTTTCCTAGATATTTTTTTTTGATTTTTCTTTTCTGATTTTTTCTTCTGATTTTTCTGTTCTGATTTTTCTGTTCTGATTTTTCTGTTCTGATTTTTTGTTCTGATTTTTTCTGTTCTGATTTTTCTGTTCTGATTTTTTTGTTTTGATTTTTTTGTTCTGATTTTTTTCTTCTGATTTTTCTGTTCTGATTTTTCTGTTCTGATTTTTCTGTTCTGATTTTTCTGTTCTGATTTTTCTGTTCTGATTTTTTTGTTCTGATTTTTTTCTTCTGATTTTTCTGTTGATTTTTTTGTTCTGATTTTTTTATTTTTCTCCAAACTTCTAAATTCCTCAAAATTTTCGCATGCGGAGCGAAGAGTAGAGTATTTAAATACCAATTTTCCATCATGGAACGGATCAGAAAAATATCGGTTCAGTATCAGATCAGGGCTGTCGGCAAGTGAAAAAATATTTTCCGCAGCTGCAATCCTCGCAAGTATCTCAGTCCCCGATATCAATTCATACCTACCAGTGCTGGGTATTTGTACTTTGTTGGCTCCGGCTCCGGAGCCGGCGATTTTCGGAGCCGCTCCATGTTGGCTCCGGGTGGAGAATCAATAAATTATTTTTCATCGGGTGATTTGGGTAGATAAAAGGGGATATCGAGTGATATAAGAGGATTAAGAGGGCTTACATGTATCACAAAATCAGAAGAAAAAAATCAGAAGAAAAAAATCAGAACAGAAAAATCAGAACAAAAAAATCAGAACAAAAAAATCAGAACAAAAAAATCAGAAGAAAAAATCAGAACAGAAAAATCAGAACAAAAAAAATCAGAACAAAAAAATCAGAACAAAAAAATCAGAACAAAAAAATCAGAACAAAAAAATCAGAAGAAAAAATCAGAACAAAAAAATCAGAACAGAAAAATCAGAACAAAAAAATCAGAACAAAAAAATCAGAACAAAAAAATCAGAACAAAAAAATCAGAACAAAAAAATCAGAAGAAAAAATCAGAACAAAAAAATCAGAACAGAAAAATCAGAACAAAAAAATCAGAACAAAAAAATCAGAAGAAAAAATCAGAACAAAAAAATCAGAAGAAAAAATCAGAACAAAAAAATCAGAAGAAAAAATCAGAACAAAAAAATCAGAAGAAAAAATCAGAACAAAAAATCAGAAGAAAAAATCAGAACAAAAAATAAGAAGAAAAAAAATCAGAACAAAAAAATCAGAACAAAAAAATCAGAACAAAAAAATCAGAACAAAAAAATCAGAACAAAAAAATCAGAACAAAAAAATCAGAAGAAAAAATCAGAACAAAAAAATCAGAACAGAAAAATCAGAACAAAAAAATCAGAACAAAAAAATCAGAAGAAAAAATCAGAACAGAAAAATCAGAACAAAAAAAATCAGAACAAAAAAATCAGAACAAAAAAATCAGAACAAAAAAATCAGAACAAAAAAATCAGAAGAAAAAATCAGAACAAAAAAATCAGAACAGAAAAATCAGAACAAAAAAATCAGAACAAAAAAATCAGAACAAAAAAATCAGAACAAAAAAATCAGAACAAAAAAATCAGAAGAAAAAATCAGAACAAAAAAATCAGAACAGAAAAATCAGAACAAAAAAATCAGAACAAAAAAATCAGAAGAAAAAATCAGAACAAAAAAATCAGAAGAAAAAATCAGAACAAAAAAATCAGAAGAAAAAATCAGAACAAAAAAATCAGAAGAAAAAATCAGAACAAAAAATCAGAAGAAAAAATCAGAACAAAAAATAAGAAGAAAAATCAAAAAAAAATATCTAAGAAAAAATAACTTCGGGCGCCTATTCGTCCCGCGCCTATTCGTCCCGCGCCTATTTGTCTCCGCGCCTATTCGGCTGCGCCTATTCGTCTGCGCCTATTCGGCTGCGCCTATTAGTCCTGCTCCGTTCGACAAGATTCATTTCCCAAAAATGCCAGAGCATAAAATTACTAAAAAATGAGTTATTTTGAAAGAAAAAATTTATTGTTTAAAGGTTCAAATTGACCCAAAGCTGGTAGAGGAATGAGTCTCCTCATATTTCCGAACCGATATCTGAAGGCAGGTCGAAACTTGCGGTCCAACTTTTGCTGACCGAAACTTGCGGACCCGACGAATTTCTCAAAACATAGCTCATTCGAAAGAGCTCGACGAGCTGAGTCGAATGACATCAAAATCATCGTGATTTTAAAAGCTTGGACAAAGTTACAATAGAAAAACCTAAACCTGTGGTCCGCAAAAGTCGGTCCGCAAGTTTCGCACTACCATATCTGAATTAAACCTATACTAGCCCGTCTGCTAAACCCCCAAAATTTAAAATTGAATTCAAAACAGAAAAATCGAACAAAAGTAATAACAAAAGAACGAACAATTGGATCAAGTTTTGCATCAGGAATTAAATGAATTTTACATTTAAAAATCATATAAATTTTAGGCTATCAAAGAAGTGTTTCTTGTCCATAAAATTGTGAAAAAAAATTTTTTTTGAAGGGTAACAAACAGAAAAATCATTTTTGCATCAATCTTTTATTTATATTATAAGAATAAAGACTTTTCAAGTCTCAGGATTCGAACCCACGACCCAGGAAAGCGGGGGAGATGGGATTATCCAACTACACCAAACTAGATACACTCTATATACCAAAAATTAAAGGCTATAACTTACTATAATTTCTTTTCATTATAATTTACACAGCCCTTCTTTTTCCTTTATTCTCCTCTTCATTCGGTTTTGAAGTCTTTAGCGCCAGGTCCAGAACCTTCTCGATAACCCATTTTTGACATAATTGTTGCAGCTACACCCAAACTTCTAGAAACACTTTTTCCAAAAAGTTTTTCCAAATTTTTGTTGCTTTCAAGCTTCAATTCGTAGTTTTTTATATTTTTTAATATTCAATACTTGGGGAGGAAAAGTAGTGGACGACATTATTATTCAAAACATAAAATGAACGACCGTCAGATTTTTTCCTTCCCGTTTTTAGTTTAAAGACCACACATCCTTCGTAAAGGCTTCCTTCCTCTTTTTAGTGTTTTTTACGTTCTCGGCTGAATCAATATTCCTTTTCTCGAGAGAAATATCTTCTTTTTGCTCGAGAGAACACAAAAAAAAAACAAATGAAAAATAGGTCGATCTTTAGTGTTCATTAAATTCCAACGAAAATAAGCTAAATGAATTCACCAAAAAGACAAATTACCGACTAAAGGAGATGTGGGTGAAATTATCTAAAATCACTCGTGCAAATGAATTTTCTTTAAAAAAAGAAAAAATATCCAACAGAGTCCCCCCACTACATACTTTTATATTTTCGCTGTTCCTTGATTTTTCCCTGACTCGAGGTCAAGGCTTTTAGTTCAATTAGTTTCATAACTTTAACATAAAAATGCTTCATAAATATTTTGGCTCTACTCCAGTTTATGCGTCCAATCGACTTTTATGCGTCCAATGAAAGTTTATGCGTCCAATAAAAAGAAATTTGGATTTTTCTTGGTATTGCAAAGTTGGGGTATGGTTTCAAAACATTTCTTCATGTTCGGGACCTACGCCCACTGGGTCTGGGACCGTTCCTTACCCTATCGCTCGAAATTTCGGAAAGTTATAGCCAATTTTTTAAAATTTCAGAAAAACGATTTTAACTTTCAGAAATTTCGAGGAATTGGGTAAAAAACGGTCCCAGACCCAGTGGGTGTAGGTCCCTAACATGAAGAAATGTTTTGGAACCATACCCCAACTTTGCAATACCAATAAAAATCCAAATTTCTTTTTATTGGACGCATAAACTTTCATTGGACGCATAAAAGTCGATTGGACGCATAAACTGGAGTAGAGCCAATATTTTTTGAGAAAAAAGAAAAAAATAAAAATCAAAATTTATCATTGTTTTCTAAAAAATAAATACATAGATCCTTAATGGCAGTAGAGGTAAAAAATAGAAAAAAATGCTAAAAAAAATTAAGTAAAAATAAGTTAAAGGCGGACATCACTCATACGAAACTTTCTCTTCAACAAAAATTTGTCGGTTAATACAAGTAGCGTCTTGACTAGGCTGCACGCAACTGAAAAAAATTTTTCCGCACCCGCAAGTCAAAAAAAGCTATTCACGCAATCCGCAACTCCCAATCCGCAATTGAGTACAACCCTTGTTTCTACCCTTAGTGTCACACGTTAAGCGATTCCTCTCATCGAACTAAAGAGATTTATACTAAAATTGATAAAGGTATTTCGTGCAAATGATGTCACAGACTATATAACAGGAATGTCACGGATTGAAGTCTGGCCATGTTTCTGAAAATTTTTCCGGATCGTGTTTCGTGTAATAGTGCCCCCGGTATATAAGAAGATTATTATACTGGACAGAAAATTTAAATAAATAATCAAACGAATCTTAAATAGAGTTTTTCCTCTCTCTCCCTTCCTCAAAAAGTAAAAAAACCCATCAAAATTCAAAACCAAAATCAGTTTCATCTCTTCTTCCTACAAAATTGTTTAACCATTTCTCGAATCTCATTTCCAGCAAAAGAATTAAATTCCAAAACACACTTTGAAAGACAATCAACGCCTTCAGAATTTTTCAATGGACAAAATTCATTTTCATTTATTTGCCAGAGCATAAAATTACTAAAAAAAAATAAAAAATTGTTTGACGTATAAAAATTTGTTTGCGTGTATAAAGGACGTATAAAGGATGCATTCGGACGCCTAAATATGGACAAAAGCCAGTAATTTTCCCCCACTCCTTAAAAAAGTTAATTTGGATTCTCTTCTGTATTTCATTCCCCTCCAGGTTCCTTCTGACTTGGTTCTCTTCCCCAGAAAATAAATTTAAAAAATTTTAAATCGAAAAAGAAAACAAACTTAGCATGAATAAAAGCATCGAGAATAAATCGCTCCTTCTTAATTCCATTCTTACCAATCGGATATATAATCTTTCGAGTAGACGGATTCCAAAAGGGTATACGCTCACGTAATTCATGAAATGGCAAAGAATCATATTGTAAACAGGCCTCTTTTAAAAAGTCGAGAGTAAAGAAGTAATTGTTAATATTTCCTTCACGAAAGAACAATTTATGTGGATTCTTCGGATCACTTTTCTCGGCTACTTCTTTTGAAATTTTTGAAAAATCTAAGACTTTAAGCTTTCCAATTTCTTCTGAAGAAATTTTCTTCTCAATTACCTTAATTATAAAAATTGAATTTCAAAATGTCTAAAAACCCAAAGACAACAAAGTATATGTTGGAAGGGATTTCGAATTTTCCGACCTAACTATAAATAGTTATCCAAAGTTCAAGTACGAAAATAGTTCCTTTGTTTAAACAGTTACTTGTTTTGAACAAGATTTCACTCTTTTTTAGTCGATTTTAACTAGTTAAAAGAAAAACCTTCACAACACAATCAGCAGTTTTGTCAATAGCACAGCCAACCATGTCCAAATCTGGAACACGACAGAGGATATTATTATCGGAACAAACATAAAAATATTCAAGTCCAGCATTTTCAAACTTTGGAAGGGCGGGCAACAATGCTTGATAAATACCACCAGTTCCATCTGAAAAATATTTTTTTTTAATTGGTTTAAAAAATCTTTAAAAAACCAGGTAAAGTATTAATTTGGTAAGGTGAAGATAAAAGAACTTTGCCATCAAAATCGTGAGTAGGATTTTCATTTTGGACAAAAACGAATACCTAAAAATTCTTTTGTTTAAGAGTTAGAGTCAAAAAAGGAAAAGTCAAAAAAATTTCAAATGGAAATTTTTGTGGTCAAGGGGGAGCCATACAATTGTGAAACCAATTTTTTGAACAATAAAACTAAAAAATTGTTGGCCCCCAACCAATGATTATTTTTAAAAATTTACTACCTGCTTCGCATCCAATTTTGTCTTTTTCAAAATTATATCCAAGTGTTTACGTATTTTTTCTTCTGAAGATTTGTTAGTCATTATCATCCAAATTATTTTTCCCTTAGCTTTTTGTTGAAGATAACTAATCTGAGCTGCTTGCAAAAACAAAATGGAGTCATTTTCCTCTTCAAGTGAAGTTCCCAGACTTATAATACCATTTGGAATAGAAGATCCTTCTCCAGTAGTGAGTGTTATAACAGCTAGTTTGCCTTTAGAAATGGCTTCAAGACCTGAAGAGCGAAGAGAAAATTTTAGTCAAAAATCAGCTTAATCTCCCCTATGGTTTTTCAATTTTCAGGAGTCTGTATTTCGGTCCACAAACGTTTCCGCACCCTGGGAGTGGTGCTTGCCAATATAGTTTATATTTCGAAGGACTTTCGAACCGGCAAAGTACAGCCATTTGTTTATCAAATAAGCAAATGATTTTTTAAAATTCAATCCAAATTAAGATTTTTTGACGCTACTTTTTCGAAAATTTCAATTCTTAAGAAATTGCCTTAAAATTCCAAAATAAAAATACCAGTGTCATAAAATTTTTTCATTTCATCTGTTAAAAAGTTTAGTTTATCAAAACAGCGATCTGGCTGAACTAGAACAAAATCTTGAACATTTGAAACTGTTTCAGAGCATGCAGGTTTAGGCTCAGCACTAAATTAAGAAATAGTTTTAGATTAATAATTAAAGCAAGCCGGTTGAGGGAGGGGTTCCACAGCTACGTCCCCCTTCATTAAAATGTACATTCCCCCACCGGATAAACTTATTTTTGTGTAGGTCGAAATTGGTAAATCTCGGACAACCCTCGGACAACCTAACAGAATATACCCATTTTTAATTTATAGTTAGACGAATTAGTGTAGTAAACAGAAAATTACGTTAATCGAAAATAGAGAATAAAGAAATGATTAAAATAGAAATCGACAACAGACCCGTGTTTAAATAGAAAAATTATAATTACTCGATAGAATGTTGCTGCGATTGCTTTTCGGCGAGTGAGTGAATCTCGAAAAGTGCAGTTCCTATTTGCCAACCAACAAAAGCGCCTAGTGGGATCATCAATGTTCCTAAAGTCGACAAGGTAAAAAGTTGATTTCTAAGATATTCAAATCTTCGAAACTAAAGACAAAAAATAATAAAATAGAAAAAATTATATAAAAAACCTTCTTTCCATTATCTTTAGCTGAAGACGAATATTGTCGATGACTATGAAACTGCTGAGAATAAATATTTTGCCCAAGAAGAGATGTATAATTCATCATATTAAATACCTTAAATATTGTAAAATTTATTTTAAAATTAAAAATTTTTTTTAATTTTAAAGAGGATTTCCTTCTTCAAAGTCAATAGACACTAAAATTTCGAGTAGTTCTAATGATCTTTTTTGTTTAAATTTTTAGAAAATGGATTAGTGCCATAGCCCACAAGTCAAATTTGGGTACTTGTGAGTTATCCCAAAACGGCTAAAGTAAACCTTACCGGGCGATTTTTAATTTTTATGATTTATATGCCAATCGAAAGAGCAAATTTAAAATCGCCCGGTAGAATCTACTCAGGCCCCAAAACAGTTCTAGCTGACATATTTTGCAGACTCTTTTATTTGTCAACAAGCCAAATTTTTTTGAATTTTAACAAAAACCTTCAAATTCGAATTTGCATTTTTGTCAACAGCACAGCCGACCATTTGCAGATCTGGAACACGACAGAGGATATTATTATCAGAATAAACATAAAAATATTCAAGTCCAGCATTTTCAAATTTTGAAAGGACAGGTAAAATTGTTTGATAAATACCACCACTTCCATCTAAAAAAATTTTTAAAAAATTGTTTTCAAAATTAAAAAAAACCTGTCGAAAAAAACTTAGCAACTCTCTTAAGAGTAATAATATTTGAACCAGACCCCATAAAACGAAACATTTGTCAATAAAAAATAAATAAAAACTAAAAAATTAAGAAGCAGAATTTAAGGATAACCCAAGGAGATCAACTCCCAGTGGATAAAGGATTTGTGCCAGGGTTGGCTGAAATTGAAAAAAATTTTCCGCAATCACGCAACTCGTCCTGCGGATTAGGATCAAATTCTTACCATAAGGATTAGGAAGAATGAGTGGAGATTAAGGGGAATATCGATGAACAAGTATGGATTAAAATGGATTAGTCGGGATTAAGGGGTCAGGATATTGAACCTCCAAATTAAGGATAAAGGATGTTGACCTCCTAGAGTGGACACAAATCTAAATATACACATGTTAAAAAACATTAAAAAAATAAAAAAAAATTAGAATAAATCCATATTTATTTCTTTAATCATTAAATTAAGGTCAACTGATGGAGACTCCGAAGAGCACATAAAAATTTATAGAAACAGAAGGGTCAAGTGAGGGAAGGCTCCGAAAAGCACTGAAAATGAGGAAAACACAACAAGTATATATAGTGACTGGAAGGGCGGTAGGATGATAAAAATAGAAGGAAAGTGTATTTGATTGATATAAGGAGGTAAATAAAGGTTGAGGGGCAACAATTTGAATAAGACGGATGGGAAAATATTTGAAAAGTTGGAATGAGGGAATTATTTAAATATATAAGAATTTTTTTGAATAATTTTGCCTGTACTAGGATTAATTTCTTAAGTATCCCATCTAGAGACCAATTCTCATTTTTTAATAAAAGAAAAAAGGAAGGGAGAGTGGGCGGGACTTATGGGGGGTAAACTACACAAGTACCCAAATTTCATTCGCCCTATTTGATGAATGCCAAAAATTAATTTTTTTAATTTTTGTATAGAAAACAAATTAATCTTTTATAGTTAAGCAAAAAAAATAATTTTTTAGAGACCTTCAAGCGGATTTATATAGTTTAAACAACAACAGATTCATTAACAATTATAGCTTCTTCCTCTTTTGATTGTCCCAAAAATAAACGTTTTGGGCGTTTATATATTTGACATAACCCCCTTCCTTTAATTATTTGTTCTTTAAATTGAGTACTTTCAGTGTTATATTCACGGAAAAATATATTTGATGCTACCTGGAAAATAAGAAAAAATCAAAAGAAATATCTTTAGATAGTGATTTCGTTCTGACTGTGAGAGCCAGAAAAGGGTGGATTTAACGTCTCTCCAAGTGGATTGAAAGGGGGATCTTTTAATGACTTGTTCCAGAGGTTTACAATAGAAAGTGTTTCTTAAAAAAATTAACAAAGGAAAAATTCAGGCTTTTTTCAGACTAAATTTTAAATAAATTTTAAAAGATTATTGACTAGATTAAATATCCAGACAATTTTTTATTTCCGATCCGAAGAAAATTTTGAAAACCCGATCCGAAACCCGACCCGACATTTTTCTCAACCCGTGACATTCCTGATATTTAGGCTTTTCAGGAATCGGAATTAGGCTTTTCGGGATTCGTGACCTTATCCAGCCAAAAACACCCCTCAGAAAATAAAAATTAAAAAACCTGTATAGGCACTGGAATGCCCTCATGATTATTTTCTAGCAAAGCATTTAATAATTTAATTGCTCCAATCCAAGGAGATGGTGCCAAAATCGTCAAACAAACTTTAAAAAATTTTTAAAATTCTATAAAATAATTAAAAAAAAACCTTTGTGTTGCAATTTTAATAAAATAGAAATTTGTAAAATTGGAGCAAATGTTCGAATTAATGAAGCAATTAATTCAGCAAGTTCCAAAGCTTCTTCAGAATTGGAAATCTGAAGGAAAAATTAATTATAGAAATTTTAAGTTATTGTGAGACATTTAAAAATACTTTAAAATTTCTAAAATCAATTCAATAGAGAGGTCAACAACTTTTCTGATGTTGGTAATACATTTTTGTCTGACCATTTTTAATACACTAGGAAGAATAAATGGGGGTACGAACTTGAATTTTACCGTTTTATTACAAAATAAAGTGAGAAAAAAAGTCAATTATCCATTCAAAAGACCAAAGGAAAAATGAGCAACAAAAAAAAAGAGAAATGAAACTTCTCAAAATTTTCCTCCAATTTTTTCAATTTTTATCCCTAGGGAGTCCAATACTGGTTCTTAACCGGTATTCCCGGTTTTCGGTTCTCAAAATTTTAAAAAGCCTGTTTTCGGTTTTGAGTTTAAGTTAAATACCAGTTTTATTTTTTGGAGGAATTTTTTAAAAATCAGTCATTTTCAGAAATTAAAAATTTTTGGACTTTTTTTCTGAAAAAGTCCAAAAAATCTCAAACAATCTTCGGGTTTTCCCACACAAAATTTATGTAAAACGGTTAATTTTTGGCAAAAAAAAAAATTTTCTGGTTTAAAACTGGTCGTGAACCCCTATTTTCCCCTTCAAAAAAATCAAGGGAAGTCCTACCCCCAAAATTCTCAAAAATTAAAAAAACCTTTTCTTCTCCATTTTCTTCAAAATATTCAAAAAATTTGTCAACAAAAACTTCAAAATGTTCATTCAACAAACTAGCCCCATCAGGCAACACATCATTTAATTTTTTCAAAGTTTTCCAACACAAAATTTTTGGAATATTTTGGGTATTCAAAATTAATAAATTTAAAGAAGGCGAAATTAAAGCAAAAGAAAACCCAACAGATTTAGCCAATTCAACAACAGAATCCAGCGAATTTTGAATTAAATCGAGTTCAAATTCTCCAGAAAGTGAAGCAGTTAGGGCTGACATAAAATTGTCCAAATCAATTTTTGTATCTGTAAAAAAGGAAAAATATAAAAAGTAAAAAAATTTTTTAAGGATGGGTGAAGTAAGGACCGTTTTTAGTGAATTTATTGACATCTAGAAACTTTAGCAAAAATTTCAGAATTTTTAATCAAGAATTTTAGAAATTATGGCCAAAAATGTTGATTTTATGAAAAATGCCTAATTTTTCGAGGTCTATCGACTATAACTTCAGGAATATTTGATGAAAAATTCTGAAATTTTTGGAGGAGGTAGTCAACGATGTTAAAGAAATTTGAGAAAATTTTTATGAAGTTAGGTCTCGCCTAAGTGTCACTTTTTTGTTCTCGCGCCAAAACGGCCCGTCGCCAAAACGACCCCAACCCGAGAAGGATAACCCTATACAAAAATATCTCCCAAGAAATGTCACTATTCCCCAAAGAACCTTCAACTAAAAAATTCAAAAAAATATTTCTTTCCATTCAAACCTTTTGGGACAGCCCCAATTAATTCACTATAAACACTCCAAAGAGAAGCTGCCAACCTTCTTTGCTCCAAAATTGAATTTCTAATTAACAAAACATCCAATTGAGGCAAATATTCATTTAAAGAGTCAAAAGGTGTTCGGCTTGTACACAAATCAATAATTGTTTTTAGTAAGCGAGGTTCCAACCAAGAAAAATAATTTGAGTCTCCAAGTGATTTGAAATGAATAGAAGGGGTAGACGAAGATTTTGTAGTAATATTAGAATTGTTTTGCATTTCTTTTAAATTTTTCTAAAAAAAAAAGTTTAGGTTAGTTTACATAATTTGCATAAATGTCCGCAAATTTTGTCCGCAAATATTTTTATCCGCAATATGAAAAGTCCGCAAGTTTTTCCTTACGGATCATAACTACACGAAAATTTCGACCTAACGAAACGAAAAAAATAAAAAAAAACTAATTTGTATATCAGTAAACTTGACCAAGAAAAATGTTCTCGAGGCTGTACTTTGTTAAACATTTGATCAAATTCAAATATTTGCCCTCAAATCCTCTGACATTTCCGATTTAGTGGTAAAAAATAATGGGGAATTAAAAAGGATTGAGAGTATTAAGGGGAGTCCACCCCAGAGTATCGACACCCAAAGTATCGATGACCCAAAGTATCGACACCCAAAGTATCGAATGACCCAAAGTATCGAATTTTTTAAATTTCATAATTAAGTATTCCAAGGACGGGGAAGTCTTTTTAACATAGGGAAATTGTTCCAACAATGGATCAAACATCGATCATGATCAATATGTCCAATCAAAGAAGAGTGATCGATCTCCAAGTAGAATCTTGTTCGGTCGATATGCTCAGTTCGATCGAAAACACAATTCCCCGATGTTAGAACATCATGCCCGATCATTGGAATACTTAATTATGAAATTTAAAAAATTCGATACTTTGGGTGTCGATACTTTGGGTGTCGATACTCTGGGTCATTCGATACTTTGGGTGTCGATACTCTGGGTCATTCGATACTTTGGGTGTCGATACTTTGGGTCATTCGATACTTTGGGTGTCGATACTTTGGGTCATTCGATACTTTGGGTGTCGATACTTTGGGTCATTCGATACTTTGGGTGTCGATACTTTGGGTCATTCGATACTTTGGGTGTCGATACTTTGGGTCATTCGATACTTTGGGTGTCGATACTTTGGGTCATTCGATACTTTGGGTGTCGATACTTTGGGTCATTCGATACTTTGGGTGTCGATACTCTGGGGTGATCCCATTAAGGGGGGCATGTATTCTTTGAGATTAAGAAGTACAATTGTCCGCAAAAACACGATGGAAAAAAACACAAGTAACGATATTTTTAAAAGATTAATTCTCAAATTAAAGTATATTTACGTGTAAAAATTCTAATTAATAAGTATTTAAGGTTTATTTTAAAAGTATAGTATCTTGGTTGAAAATCTTAAAATTAACCATTTTTACGTTTAAGAGAAAATATAAGTACAGAGACAATAAGAAAAGGCATAAAAAAATCAAAAGGATCGTCTGAAACTTCTTTTTTAATTTTCTTTATCTTGTCCATGGCTTTTTGTGCAAAACTTGAAAACTTCTAAAAACGAAAATGAAATAAAAAGTTTACAAAAGAAACCTTTCCCTTTTCATCTTCAGTGGCCGCAGAGAAGTATCTGTAGCTAGAGAAATGGCGACTAGGAAAATTAGATCCAATAAATTGTGTAGAGTTCTGTTTCTCAAATACCTTAAATATTGTAAATTGGAATGTTAAGCATGTAGTCTTTAAAGAGAGTAAAAATTGGAGCCTTCTTCAAGGTCAACGAAAACACGAATTCCGAGTGAGGTATTTGTATACTCGATTTTCACCCAGAAAAATCAGCAGACAATGCTGGATGACATTGCCTACATCTAATTATGGGAGATATGCCGAAATTTCCCCAATCTTATTTTTGTACACGGGGTCAATCCCAAATTATTATCCAGTCAGTCCTACGAAAAAATTTTTTAAGAAAAACCTTCAAACCAAAACCAGCATTCTTATCATTTGAAAGAGAAGATACAAGAAGACGTCCTTGCCCACAAGTCTTTGCTAATCCCAAACGTGTCACACGAAACATAAATATCAGCTTTCAATAAAAAACTAAAAAATCGAAATATTAAATATTAAAAATTAGTTCTATCCACAAATATGACTTGATAATATTATCGTATGATTTGCGGATTAAATTTGCGGACTTTAGGAAAATGGAAAATAGCAATTTGTGCGAGTCTTAAATTTAATGGATATAAAAAAGACTTTAATAGAGACTTTAAATGCCGATAATTTTTTGATCGAGTACTGAAGCCCGGGAGAGATTAAGAGAAAATTCGCAATGTAAAGTTGCGGACTGTCCGTATTATGTCTGTGGTAGACATATTTTATATTTATTAAAAATGACCTAATTATGGTGGCTCCGAAGAGCACTGGGAATAATGTAAATAGAACAAGTATATATAGTGTTAGGAAGGGCGGAAAGATGATAAAAATATAAGGAAAATGTATTTGCTTAATACAATAAAGTTGAAGGAAATATAGGGTTGATGGGCAATAATTTGAATAAGATGGAAATTATTTGAAAGTTAGACTAAGGGAATTATTTAAATACATTAAGAAATGAGGAAAAATAGATTACAACGTGAAATGATAAAAATACAAAATATTCAAATAGCGGATACAATATGGAATATAATGGAAAGTAAAGTTGCGGACCGTCCTCAAAAATTTTCAGGGATTTAAAAAATTAAAAAGGTATATTCTATCAATTTTAAATTGATTAAAAATTTAAAAAAATCACAAAAAAATTTATACAAAATTTAAATACCCATAAACCAAAAAAATCCAACTAAAAATCACGCTTGAGCCTGTTCACGTTCATATTCTTTTCGACCATCAATTTCTTCCTAAAAATTTAATAGAAAATTTGTTAAGAAAAAATATTTGAAAATGTTAAATTATTGCAGACATCTTTTGCGGACATTTTTTGAGTGTTGAAAAATTTGTCCGCAAAAAATTTTGCAAAATCTTTCCAATAACCTACGTCTTTTATTTTCAATGATAAATGTTATAATCCAATAAATCAAGAGTAGAACAACCAAAAATTGAAAGAAATTGAATGGAAAAAGAGTTCGCTTATATAGTTCTTTAATTTTCTTAGTCCCATCCATGACTTTTTGTCGTGCAAAATGGGAAAACTTCTAAAAACTAAAAATAAACTAAAAAGTTTACACAAGAAACCTTTCCCTTTACATCTTCTGTGGCCAATGATAAGTATCGGTAACTAAAGAATTGGCGACAAGGAAAATTGGGTCCATTAAGTTGTGTAGAGTTCGTTTTCTCGAATACCTTAAATATTTGCAAATTGGAATTGTAAAGCACTTAGCCTCTAAAGGAAGTAAAATTTGGATCCCTCTTCAAAGTCAACGGAAACCCGAATTCCGAGTGAGGTATTTGTATACTTGAATTGTTCACACCAGGGGTGTGCCCTGGTGTGAATCGCATTTTGCGGATTTTCGCGTTTTTTGGACTTTCGCATTTCGAGTGTCGCTTTTTTAAATTTACTTTCGCCTTTCGCTTTTTAAAATCCGTTTCGGCACACACCTGGTTCACACCCAAAAATCAGCTTCCTCCCCTTTGTTTTCGGTTTTTAGGGACTCTATCTCGGCCTGAGTCCCGAATCTAATTTCGGCGTCGTTCGAGAAATCTCGAAGTTATTCTAAATCTGATAATAGGGGATATTTCGGAATTCCCCTAATTTTATCAAATCATATTTTTAACCAAGGGATCAATATTCCCACCATCTAGTCCTACGAAAAAAAATAAAAAAAACCTTCAATCCAAAACCAGCATTTTTATCATTTGAAAGAGAAGATACAAAAAGACGTCCTCGTCCACCGGTCTTTGCTAAACCCAAACGTGTCACACGAAACATATCAAGCTTTCAATAAAAAACTAAAAAATAGATTGAAATATTAAATGTTAGAAAAAAGTTTTATCCGCAAATATATTGATTTGCGGATAAAACTTGCGGACTTTTGGATTTTAAATAGAATTTTATAATTTTAAAATAAAAATGTTTCACAAACATTTTTTGAGAAAAATGAAAAATCTGGAGATCAAAATTTATTTTTTTTTTAAATATATCCATAGATTTTGAACCCACTTAATGTCAATTTGAGGAATAAAACAAGGTTTGGAATTTATTTACTTTAACTACCCACCCCAAAATTTTACTGAGGGATTTTCCATTTAGATTTGAACAATATATACATGTCATTTGAAAGAGCTCGACGAGCTGAATCGAAAGGTAACAAAATCAGCTTTATCTGATGATTTTGAACAAAATTACGAGAAACTGAATTTTTGCTGGAATAACTGCTTTTGTGCGGTTAGGGGGGTAGAGGTACGCAGTTCAAGGCTGAAAATCGGCAAAAAAGGTATAGGTTTGTTACTGGTGTAGAACTCGGTGACCATTGACTCCCCGCGTGACGTGTGCTGATAAACCACTCGCGAAACGCGCGGTTTTTCTCAAGGCTTGCTTTGACCATTTTGAGCTCAGTTGTCTCAGCTCAATCATGATTTTGATGTCATTCGATTCAGCTCGTCGAGCTCTTTCGAATGATATATAAATTGTCCATGTACAAAATACTTACGGCAAAATTTTGGGGAAAAGTAGTTAAAGTAAATAAGTTACCAAGGTTTTTTTGTATAAATATGAACAGGGGTTTTCTTTTATTCTGTTCTGCCTCAAATTCCGTCCCTTATAAATGCTGATTTTTTAGATTGATTTTTAACGGTGCCGTCCATTATTTGCTTTCCCTTTAGCCTGCCCTTCATCTGAATCATCAAAAATTATTAATGTCCACAAAACAATCAATATTGCAAGTGGAAGAAAATTCAAAAGCTTCTAAAAACAAAAATAAAATAAAAAAAAAGTTTACAAAAAGAAACCTTCCTTCCCTTTTCATCTTCAGTAGGCAATGAGGTCTTCTCTAATCTGTAGCTAGAGAATTGGCGACAAGGAAAATTGGGTCCATTAAGTTGTGTAGAGTTCTGTTTCTCAAATACCTTAATTTTTGTAAATTGAACAAAACATGTGAAGTCTTTAAGGTTGGACCCTAAAATATGGACTCTTTTTCAGTCAACGGGAACCTGAATTCCGAACGAGGTATTTTATTTGCATATTCGAATTTTTCACCCTCAAAAATCAACTTGACCCCCTATGGTTTTTCTTTTTTGGGACCTATATCTCCGCCCATATTTGAGACCCTAAGCTAATTTGGCGTCGTCCGACCAGAGTCCTGTCAGTCCTACGAAAAAAATTTAAAAGAAAAACCTTCAAACCAAAACCAGCATTTTTATCATTTGAAAGAGAAGATACAAAAAGACGTCCTCGTCCACCGGTCTTTGCTAATCCCAAACGTGTCACACGAAACATAAATATCCAGATTTTAATAAAAAACTACTAAAAAATTAAGATTGAAATATTAAAAATAGTAAAAATAGGGCGAAAAGTTCAAGAATAGGGCAAATGCCATGTAAATAGGGTAAAATGGTCACCCTGATTTGAACTGGCAACAAGTTGAATAAGACGAAAAAAAAATTTGAAACATTAGAAATGAGGAAAAATATTAAAATAGCGGACATAATATGGAAAAAGTAAATTTTGCGGACTGTCCGCAAAATTTCTTTGGGATTTAAAAAATTAAAGATATTTTCTTTCAATTTTAAATTGATTAAAAATTCACAAAAAATCACAAAAAAAAAATTTATACAAAATTTAAATAGCTATAAACCAACACAAACCTTTCCACAACACAATTCTCATTTCAGATATACTACTTTATTCCAGTTTTTTGGAATTTTTAATCAATTCAAAATTGATAGAAAAAGCCTTTTTAATTTTTAAATTCCAAAAATTTTTGCGGACGTCCGCAACTTTTTGCGGCTTGATATAAAATTAAGGAACAATTAAGCATTTTTGAAGTAGATTTGAATATTTGAAGAATTTATAAGGCTTAGGTCCACACATTTGGTTTTGAAGGTTGGGTGGATGAACGAAAAAAAAGGATTCCGATCCAAAAAAATTTTTTGAGGAGTTAATGGAAAATTGATGAGACAACAAAAGAGACAATTTACAGAGGGGAGGTCCACACAATAAGCGTCTCAAGAACTGCAAGTTCGATGGCCGATGAATATAAATTTATACATGGTTGGATTGGTATACTCCTCAAAAAATTTTTTTTGAAATCGGGATCTTTTTTTTGGTTCAACCGCCAACCTTCAAAACCAAATGTGTGGACCTAAACTCTTATAAATTCCTCAAATATTCAAATCCACTTCAAAAATGCTTAATTGTTCCCCAATTTTATAACAATCCGCAAAAAGTTGCGGATGTCCGCAAAAATTTTTGAATTTAAAAAATTATAAAGATGTTTTGTATCAATTTTGATTTGATTAAAAATTCCAAACAAAAATCACAAAAAAATTTTACATAAAATTTAAGACCTATAAACCAGCACAAAAAATCAACTAAAAATCACGCTTGGGCTTGTTCACGTGCAAGTTTTTCTTTACGAGCTTTTCGTTGAAGAAGACGCTTTTCACGTTCATATTCTTTTCGACGATCAATTTCTTCCTAAAAATTTAATAGAAAATTTTGTTAAGAAAAAATATTTTTAATTTTGCGGACATTTTTTGCGGATTTCTTATATGGATAGGCTTTGCACTGGACCCAAATCTTAACGTTAACCCATACAACCCGACGGACCCAGACCTCTCTTGACTTATAGTTAAGTCAAAAATCTGTTCAAGATCTTTTATATTAATCAAGGAATCGACCTCAAGGCCTTAAAACCGCTGACCCCTATTTTCATGTAGGCCATCAATTTCCTATCCCTCTATACATTGGAGAAACTGTTACCCATAAAAAGTTAAAAATTAGAAAAAAGCTTAAAATGTAAAGCAAATCCACAAGCCAAAAAAGTGTCCTTTAGTCAATATTTTAAAGAAAACCGCGCGTGATCAGGGCTGGACGCAGTGAAATTTCTTGTTCTTTTGACTTGCGGATTGCGCACAACAAGATTGGCGGACAGCTGGAAATCTTCAGAATCCGATATCCGAACCGAAAAGTTCCGGATATCCGGCCTTTTTCGGATCAGGTTCGCCAACCTTAATCCACAAGCCAAAAAAGTGTCCTTTAGAAAACCGCTCCTAACCCTTGAGAGAAAAATGACACTTTTCCTTTTCTTGTTAATAAAAAAAGCAAACTTTGAATTGACAGTGAACCCAATCATGGCGGAGTCCAGCACAACAATGAGTTGCAAACAATCTATGTTTCCGTTGACAATCGATAAAAGGAACGGCGAGATGAGCGCAATAATCACGAAGGCCAACTGGAAGTTTATACTTTTCCCTGTTGAAAAAAATATTTTGAGGCGCGTTATATTTAAGGCTGGGAGAAGCAGAATAAACATATCCAGCCGTAACTTTAAGATAAATGTTGAGAAAGGTTCTTGCCCAGTCCATGCGTCTCTAGAGATCGAGATTTTCGAAAAGGCTGGGCCTGGGTTTGATTTATTGACCTGGGCCGTATCCTGGGCCTGTAATCTAGGAAAACTCAGACCCAGGAAAAACCCAAGAAAGTCAAAAAATGCCTAAACCTGGACTCTGGGTACAGGAAAAACCCAGGCCTCGGCCCAGACCCAGCTCGATCTCTATGCGTCTCAATATGAGTTACGCGTTCCATGGATTTTCTTTTTGATTTCAAAAAGAGTTTGGGGTTTTTAAAGCTTTTTTGGGCTGGAATTTATAGCCAATTTGTTCTTAATGGAACACTTTTACTGAAAAAAACCCCAAAAGTCAACTCCGGAGTTTGGACTAAAAAATAACCAAAAATCAATTAAAAACAAACATTTCTTCCCACGTCATTTTCATCTCTTTAACCTTCCTTCCCTAAAATTTATAGAAAATTATAAAATAAAAAATAACCAGCAAAACCTTTGGAAATCCATACAAAGGATCAAAAGTGCAAGGTCGATCAACTTGTGGAGTAGTCAAAGGATCTCTGAAGGAGTCAACGTTTGTTGAAACTTTTCCACCCATTTTGAAACAATAAGGCTATTATTTAGGCTATTTTGAAGAATTAACTAAAAATAAATTAAAGAAAAATGTTAAAAAATCAGGCAAAATCCCAACGATTTATTTTCCAAAAGTTGAAGAAATAATGTTCAGACAAAAAGGATCTATGGTAAAAAAGACAAAAATGGAAGCGACAAAGGGTACAATGAATAAAAAATGACAAATGGTATCAAACTCGCACATTTCTTTCTCTATCAAACTACAGACTAAATAATACTTCGCGTAAAAAAGACAAAATGGAATACGACAAAATGGTACAACGGGTAAAAAAAGACAGAACGTCACATACTCTCTTAAAATTGTATATAGTCTCTCAAAATTTCTTTCTCTATCTTTCAATGAAAAATAAAGGCTACCCTACAACTCATCGAATCCTTAACTCATCGAATCCTCAACTCATCGAATCGGCCAAAAACACTCAACTCATCGAATCCTTAACTCATCGAATCCTCAACTCATCGAATCGGCCAAAAACGATCAACTCATCGAATTTTTCCAAAAGGGGACGTTTGAGTCCCCGTGTTTATTTTTTAGATTTTTTATTGTTTTGTTTATTTTTTTTGTTTTCTTCTGGGGTTTCAACTAATTTTGTTAATTAGTTGATCGGGCACTCATCCAAGTTTATCCGGCCAGTGAAAACATTATCAGAACATTATCTCATTCCTGAAAACATTATCTCATTCCTAATAAATTATGCGGAGATTTTACCGGGTAAAACCGGACCAAATTAGTCCAGTAGACCCCGATTATGCCCAAAAGCCCTTTTTCCTAGCCTCCATAGCAGCAAAAAATTTTTTCAACGAAGATTCAGTTAGCCCTTTCGGGAGAAAAATAAAAACAGGGGACTCAAACGTCCCCTTTTGGAAAAATTCGATGAGTTGATCGTTTTTGGCCGATTCGATGAGTTGAGGATTCGATGAGTTAAGGATTCGATGAGTTGAGTGTTTTTGGCCGATTCGATGAGTTGAGGAATTTTAGCCGATTCGATGAGTTGAGCGTTTTTGGTCGATTCGATGAGTTAAGGATTCGATGAGTTGAGCGGGCACGAAAATAAAAATATATTACGCCAAAATAAAATTTTTAACGCCAACTCAGTTTTATTTTTAAATTTTCTTTGACTCAATTTTTAGAAAAAGCTTTATGGCCGTATTTTTTTCCAAGAAACGCCCCCCCCAATAACGGCGCAAAGCCATAACTTGCTTCAAGATTGTCGAATCTTACCAAATTTAGTATCAAACGATTCCTCTCATCGAGCTAAAGAGAATGGAACCAAAATTGATAAGGGCCAGACATTTTCCAGCAAGTTATGGCTTTGCGCCGTTATGTCCGCGCGCCGTTTTGGGCTGTCCCCTTTTAGAAACGACTTTATGGCCGTATTTTTTTTCCAACTTTTTGCCACGTTTTTTAAAATTTTTTTGAAGCAATTTAATTAAATTTTTACAGCAAATGGAAGCAATAAAATAAAATTTCCTCACCAAAAAATGGGCCTTCGATTTCACGAAAAATACCTACTTTTAATCGGCAGCGTTTCTCTAGGCCTTTTTATACTTTCAGCAACTCTTTTTTATTTTTCTTCGTCAGATTTGTCGTCAACTCTTCAACAACACAAAATACGGGATGTGGGGAATAGAAGAGAAAATGAAGAATTGCTGATTAGGAAAGAGGTTGTTTATAGGCACAATTTGTCTGATAATTCTGCTCAAAGACAAAATAATGATTATAGAAGAAATTATGTTAAAGAGGTTTTTTTAATTTTTTTTTAAAATTTATTTTGGCGGTCCTAAGGGGAATTTTGACAAATTTAGGGGAGAGCGTCCCGTCATTTTGATTGATTTATAAATGAAAATAGAGCGCCTCTTTTTTCTAAATTTATTTTTCCTAGAAATTTGCATTTTTTAGAAATTTCTTAAGCATAGGTCTTTCAGATTTTATTTAATTTAGCGTCTAGGAGCATCACACAATTAAGAGTTGAACCCAGATTTTTTATTCTGATTGTATATTTTTCTTTTCCTATAGACTTTTTTTCTTTTAAAATTTTGGGAGACTTCTAAATTATGCTATGCCTGCTAGAGATCGAGATTTTTGAAGCCTGTTCCTTGGTTTGATTTATTGACCTGAACTGGATCCTGGGCCTGTATTCTAGGAAAAACCAAGGCCCAGGAAAACCCTAGGTCAAAAAATGTCCGGGCCTGGACTCTAGGACAGGAAAAACCCAGGCCTTGGTCCGGGCCCAGCTCGATCTCTAATGCCTTTTTGTCATTGTTCGATTTCCCCTTTCTTTAACTCTATTTTCATTCAGCCTCTCTTTTTTAAAATTTATTTCCTTACCCATTATTCACAATTTTTTCCTCGGATCTTGATATTCAATAGGAATTTATTTCATACATGTTGTGAGTTTTTCTGGCTCATCTCTTGAATTTAAAAAAAAATTTTGTAGATGATGAAATTCGCTTGGGATGGATATGTTGCTCATGCTTGGGGTCAAAACGAATTAAACCCAATTACCAAATCAGGCCATAGCGGATCAATTTTTGGAAGTGCCCATTTAGGCGCAACTATTGTGGACGCTGCTGACACGTTTTTTTAAATTATTTAAAAATTCAAAAAATTTTTTCAAGTCTTTACATTATGGGCCTTAAAGAAGAATTTGAAAAAGCCAAGCAATGGATAGACTCTAGTTTTGATATTTTAACGGCCTCGAGTGATTTGTCTGTTTTTGAGACAAATATTAGATATGTAGGAGGGTTGTTATCTGCATATGCACTTACAAAAGAAAAGGTTTTTTTTGAATTTTTTTAAAAGATTTATGAGCAAAAATTTAGTTTTCATGAGTCATCAGAAGAATTACCTAAAAACCTTTAGAGTAGAATTTGACCCCCGACCCCGTTGAACCTCTGTCCTGATTAAGGATGGCGGTTCCTGGGAAATTTCCGGAACCGGTATCCAAACCGAAAATTTCCGGATATCCGGGGTTTTTTCGGTTCTGGATACCCAGAACCGCCAACCTTGGTCCTGAACCACGAACTTCTCGACGCATAAAGGTCGGAGTCCATTCCTGCTCAGAGCCGTTATTTAAGTGATTAATTTAGACATAAATAGGCGTCCGTGCTTCAGGGGACGCGTTTAAACGGATATTAACAACCTTGCTTCTGTCACTCATAATCAAAATTTTATCCAATTTTTTGCCGTTTTCCTTGAACGGATTCAGCTATTTTTTATTTGAAGGATTTTTTATGTCTGAATTAGGTGTCCAAAATACTTAAGGGATATTTAAAAAATTTTCTAAAAACCCTAATTTTCAGTTATTTCTTTCAAAAGCAATTCAAATAGCCGATTTACTCCTTCCAGCATTTGATGCATCGTCTACAGGAATTCCATTAGCTTTAATTAATGTTCAAACGGGGAAAGCAACAAATTATAATTGGGCAAGTGGGGGTTGTTCTATTTTATCTGAATTTGGTTCAATTGAATTGGAATTTTCTTTTTTGTCTAAAATTACTGGAAATGATACTTATTGGTTAAAATGTAGAAAATTGAGAGAATTTGTTGATAAATTGGAAAAACCTGATGGGCTTTATCCGGTAAAAAATTTTTAAAAATTTATTTTTATGTATAAGGGGCTTCGCGGTTCGGCAAACACAAAACCGTGGAGCGTGACACTTGACAAAATGAAAAACTCCTTAAATTTTTATAAACGAGCAGAAATAGCTCCAGGGTGCTAGGATCTGACCAGATTGATTAGATACGAACTGGGCTGAACCGACTGGTCTGGGTCTTCTCCCTATTATTTTTGATTTTTGTGTAATCAAATTTGGGGGAAATTCATTATATGAAATGATTTTTTGGGGGTTTGTCTGTTGGAAACTGATTTACTCCCTGTTTTTTTTTGTGGACACGGAAAATCTTATAAATAAAATATTTACCGGCCAATCGAACCCAGAAAAAAGCGAAGTTTGTTCGGATTTATGATTCCTGTTCTTTGTCATCGGGTATTTTATTTATATTCCCGTTTTTGGTTCGCTTTTTTTTTGCTCACCGTCACGCTAATTTTTATAAAAATTTATTTTTCAGAATTATTTAAATCCAAATACTGGTAAATGGTGTCAAAGTAATATTTCTTTCTTCAATTGTTTTATCAAAAAAATTTATTTTTTCAGAACATATTTCTGTTGGAGCATTAGGCGATTCTTTTTACGAGTATTTACTTAAAGTCTGGTATTTTTTAAAATTTCAAAAAAAAATTTTTTGTAAATTTTTTAAAGGCTTTTTGACGAAAAACGAGACAATAAATTATGGGAAACTTATAAAAATGCAATTTTGGCAATAGAAAATAAACTTTTGTTTAAATCAAAGCCTAGTAATCTTTGGTATTTTGCTGAAATGAAAGGGACGAGAATTGAACATAAAATGGATCATTTGGTGAGAAAAATTGGTTGAAGGTTTTCTTTAGTTTTTAAATTTAAGCGAAGGGGAAATAAGGGAGAAATTTAGGTACTTTATGGATATGTCACCCCCCTCCTATTTTGAGTCTCAGAGTTTTCCTTAAACGTAGAAAATGGTCAGAGATTATTTTCTTCTCCATGTCAATCATTTTTCTTTCTTCAAGCAAATATGGTAAATGTATAAACGAAATGCATGAAATGTAAGTACAAAATATGTAAAAAGGCAAAATAAACAAGCAAAATACTTGAAGAAGAAAAAAATGATTGACATGAAGAAAATAATCTCTGACCATTTTCTACGTTTAAGGAAAATTCTGAGACTCAAAATAGGAGGGGGGGGGTGACATATCCATAAAGTACCGAAATTTATATTTAAGAAAGGGGGAATATACTTTTGGGTGAGTTTTGAGGGATAGTGCTCTCATGTCAGAGCTGTCCGAGACTCTTGGCCAAGACTTTTCTTGGTTTTTTTTTCGGTCTTGGTCTTGGAAAAAATTTTGTCCTGGGTCTTGAGTTTTGGAAAAATTTCGGTCTCGGACAGCTCTAGTGCTCTGTTAGGAACCAAAAATGAAGAGGGATCCAACTAGTTCTCATTTAGAACACTTACTGGTGTGCGGATTAAGTCTATTAGTTTTAAAGGAGGAGATGGAAACAGCGTTTCGGTAGGTCAGTCGGTCGAGCACATATACATGGTGTGTGAAAAACTACCGGAAGGTCGATGCCTGCCCGGGGATAAACTTTACTTTTCTCTTTGGTATAAGGTGTGTTATAATAAAAATATTTTTATAGTTACTTCATTTGTCTATGAGACAATTAGCGTTTATTAAGAGATAATTTTAATTTCAATTTTTAAGGCTTGTTTTACTGCTGGAATGTTTGCACTTCAATCATTACATGAAACTGATATTAATCAACGAGCACATTATTTAGAATTGGCTGAAAAAATTGGAGAAACTTGTCATGAATCGTACAATAGAACAAGTTTGTATTTTTAAAAAATTTTATTCCTCCCTTTTCCTTTTCTGACAATGAGTTGGGTTCTTCCTTCGTTCTTTCTGCAGGGTAGTGCTAAGGTTGTCCGATCTGGATATCCGGGTCCTAAAAAGGCCGAATATCCGAAAATTTCTGTTCAGATACATGATTGGATATCCGAAGATTTCCAACTATCCTACAATCTTAAATAGCGCCTCTCTCTATTAAGCAGAGATGTCCAAAAATGAAAATTTTTAGAACTCAAAAACGAGAGTCGAGTAAATATCGACAGTCTCTTCACGTCTCTGCTCTTTTGTAGGGAAATGCCGTCTTGCTTATCGAAAATTTTGAATTCCCAATATTTTTTGGGTATGAAATCCCGATTTTCAAAATTGGGACTTGAAAAAATTTCGGGAATTCCCATTCCTTAAATCAGACATATTTTATTTAGGCACGTCCATTCCTTAGTTTTCCCACCTTACATTCTTACTTAGAATTTGAAAATCTTTTTTTAAATTTCCTATTTTGGGTTCTCTTAATTTCAATTCCCAATTTTCAAAATCATAAATAGGAAATTTGTCGGGAATTATTGTCCCAAAAATCATTAATTTATTTTTTTTGTGTCGTCTCTGCTTTCTCTCTGAAGTTTTTTTGCCGACAACCTTAATTAGGACTTGAAAAATAATTTTTTTTTCAAATTTTGGTTCCTTCCAATTTCCAACAGATTCCACCCTTATTTCAAAATTTCTTCACATAATTTTCTTTTTCAAGTAACAAAACTTGGCCCAGAATCTTTCCGTTTTGCTTCGGATATAGAAGCAAAAGCTGTCCGTGTCCACGAATCTTATTACATTCTTCGTCCAGAAGCTGTAGAGGGATGGTTTTATTTGTGGAGAGTAACGGGTAAACAACAATATAGAGATTGGTGTTGGGAAGTTGTTGAAGCATTAGAAAGGCATTGTAGAGCTACAGCTGGATATACAGGCATTAGAAATGTTAATTCTTTACCGGTAAAAAATTTTACTTTTTGTGTGGTTGATTTTTGGGCTCGTGGATTTCTTATCTGTTTTGCGAGTCAATGAATATCGGGGTTAGACCACAGTTTAGATTAGGGTAGCACCCCGTCCACCGAAACCCCGACCCCGATGGATTTTTAGGCAAAAACCCCCAACTGAACCCCGAAGGCTCTACCCCGACAAACCCCTATCCCTGTCGTCCACCCCCACTTCAAATGTGGGGGAGAATTAAAAATTGAACATTTCATATTCTTGGGGCTTCTAAACTTGGGCCAAAAATACGTTTCTATTCGCTACCCTGACTTTAGTCGTTATACCGTTAGACCTCATATGCGAGCCTCTCCTACTAACTCTAATACTTTCACTTTCTTAAAAACTGGTTGGTTATTAGATGGAGGGATATGGGAGCCTCCTAAGCAATCAATACCTCCATACAAGAGCAATTTACTTCAAAATAAAAACATTTTTTTAAAGGTCGACCAAGATGATGTTCAACAATCATTTTTCTTGGCTGAGACACTCAAATATTTATTTTTAACATTTAGCGATTCAAATAAAATATCGTTAGATAAATGGGTCTTTAATACTGAGGCACATCCTTTTCCAATAGAAATTTAAATTTTATCAACTTTAAAATAACAATCATTACTCAACTCTTTTTGAGTGGGTAGGTAGAAGTGATGGGACGGGATAAATTTTCAAAAACCCGACCCAACTTTTTTTTACCCGTCCCATCCCTGGTATGTACGTGGAAGTCATTTTGTAAAAAATTTATTCGAACTAATATTTTTTCCCCGAGTATTTTTTTAAAATTCTATCTAAATTTACTCAATTTTTTGAGGTTTTGTAATTTTTTCCTTTTCCCATTAAATTTTCTCTCACAATTTGTTCAATTTTTAAGAATTTACTACTGTACATTCTCTATATAACGACATCCCTTCCAACACTTTTCTTATGTTAACCAAATTATGTCCCGAACCGCATTTGTTTTTTTTTTTCTCGCCCACTTTTCTTATCAACAAAACGTTATAGAGAGGAGTCCATTAACCTTAAAATGCCATTTCAGAAGTCATTGATGTCTTTTAATGTTTTTTAAATGTTTTTTCAAACCGTAAATGTCCTTTTACTTTCAAATGTGTTCTTCCATCTCATGTAAATCGAGTTACCCATTATCTCAAACTTTTTTCGATCCTAGACGACCTGCCTTTTCTCTCAACCCATCCCATTCTGATTTGGATATTTACGGTATTTTCTCTATTTTTCAAATTTTTTATACTCTCCTTATCATTTTTAAAAAACCGTCCACAAAATTGTAGCCGTTCGTCCATTTTGTTATATTTTTAATTTTTGTTACTTAACTTTTTTTTCTTCCCCTTCTCTCCAATACAATAAATTAATTATTTTTAATTTAAGCACTTAAAAATTAAAATTAAATTATTTTTAATTCTCCCTCCAATATATATTTTTTTTAATTTGTGCCGCTAGCCAGTTTTATTTTTTTAAACTTTCCGTCCAAAAATATTTGTTTCCTTTTGTTCAAAAAATTTTTAAAAAATTTATCTAGTTATTTTAATCTTTTTTAAAGCTTTCTTATTAATCCCCAAAATGTATTGTATATATTTTTTTAATTTAATGTCGAATCAGCCTGTTTAAGAAATTTATTTGATTTAATTAAAAAACTTTTTAGTCGGATCTTGAGGGGTTTGAAACGACTGCATCTTATGAAAAGGATGTCAAGGACTTTTTTCGATCCGAAACCCGACTCGAGAAAAATTCCAAAACCCACCCGACTTTTTTCTCAACCCGTCCCATCCCTTGAGGATGTATCCCAAATAGAGGGCACCGCTTAGACGCCTATTAGTGACCCTAACCTAGTGGTTAACCAACTTTTAAAAATTTAATAGAGATAAAAATGTGCAGTCGATCTCGATAATACGTCATCGTTGGGATCTGATTGAGTCGATGTAATAAGAAGAAAAACGTGTTAACGCGGAGACATTTTTGGTATTTGATGTATATCGAGGGCTCGCTCACTTATTAATTAAAATATAGGTAATGATGGAATGATTCGCTAAATTAAAAAAATATTTTTTTTCTGGCCTTAAGTTTTTATTTGCTTTATTTTTTTACTTAATTTAGCATTTTTCGATAGACTTTTCAATAAAATTTTTTTTTGTAAGTCAAAGTAATAATATTGTTTTTATATTGTTTCCCAAAAATTTTGTAATTTTTTATTTTATCTTAAAACGGTGTTTATACATAATTTTAATGAATAAAGAATTAATCAGAATTATTAAAAATTAATTTTAAGATTTTCAGAATTTAAAAAAGAAACAGTTAAAAATTAGAAAACGAACTAGGTATATTTAAAAATCAGAACTTTTATTAAACAATAGGAAAACACTATAAAAATCAGAATTCTCTTGGTTATCAGAATTAGTTTTAAAAATCAGAATTATTTTTTAAATCAGAATTATATAAAAATCAGAATTTAAAAAATCAGAATTTTTTAAAATCAGAATTCTGACTTTAGAATTAATTTCAGAATTTTTTTTCTTTTGAAGAATCAGAACTAATTTTCAAAACAGAATTTTAAATCAAAATTTAAATCAGAATTCTGATTTTATAATTATCAGAATTAATTTTCGTAATAAATTTTAGAAAACCAGAATTTTAAACTCAGAATTTCGAGTTTATAAAAAACAGAATTAAATTTAAATCAGGATCTATTTTGAAAAATCAGAACAAATTTTAGAAAATCAAAACAAATCAGACCGCCCTTGTATATTTCTGGTAATCCAATGATTTGTAGCCTACGTTTTGGCGTGTAATGATTTGGCGCTGGTAGCTTTCGATTCTAAATTTATTAGGTTTACTCATCTGGGTAATGATGAGAAGGGCATTCTTTTCCTCTGTTACACAATAATGTAAATGTAGACAGGATTAATTTTCAGATTAGGTTATAAAAACGTTTGTGTCTTAGGGCGAAATTTTATATGAATGTGTGCTTGTACGAGAAAATGCCCTTCTCTACATTTCTGCAAAAAATGAACGTTGTGGAATAACTCGATCACACCAAAACATTTACTCGACAATCCCTGCACGCCAAAACACGACTAATCCATATTTTTTTGTAAATTGTTTCCTTACTCGAAAACCCCTATTTTTAGTTGGCGAAAAAGAAGTTGGGCGAAAAAGAAACCCGCGACAAAGTGTCCTGCCCGAACGAAAATGAAATAGTAGGGGATTAGAGAAAGAGGGGAAAACCATTATTTTGTTCAAATTCAAAAATGGCTTCCTTTTTACTTGATGTTTTTGATTATCTCTGTTTCATTCCTAGGATTTTTACATTCTCCCACCCGATTTTCTAAATTAATTTTTTTGGAAAAATTCCGTCATATCTACCGGAAACCGATTCGGACAAATGATATGTCATTCGAAAGAGCTCAACGAGCTGAGTCGAACGACACCAAAATTAGCTTCGGGACTCACATATGGGCCGAGATATAGGTCCCCGAAAATCAAAAAACCATAGGGGGGAGTAAGCTGATTTTTGAGGTGAAAAATTCGAATATGTAAATTATACCTCATTCGAAAGAGCTCCTCGAGCTGATTCAAATGACACCAAAATCAGCTTGAGATCTTTATTCCGAGCCGAGATAAAGAGGCTCAAATAGTCAACTTAAACCTACGGGGCTTCGGCGAGGCGCTTGTGCAAAACTCCGCGCTTCGCGCGGAGTTTTGCGGCACGCGCCTCGCGGGGAGTCTACGGTCGCTGGGCTCTGGGCTCGTAACTTAATCCTATTCTTATTATCGATGAGGTGGACATGCCTGGCTTCCTCCGGATCAGCAAAAACCTCCGCGGAGACCATAGGTAAGGAGCTAAAAGAAACGATCATAACTTTGTCAAATCAAGTCAGATTTCAATGATTTTGTGGTCAATCGACTCAGCTCGAGGAGCTCTTTCGAATGAGGTATAATTTACATATTCGAATTTTTCACCCCAAAATTGAGCTTACTCCCCCCTATGGTTTTTCGATTTTCGGGGACCTATATCTCGGCCCATAGGTGAGTCCCGAAGCTAATTTTGGTGTCATTCGACTCAGCTCGAGTAGCTCTTTCGAATGACATATCATTTGTCCGAATCGGTTTCCGGTAGATATGACGGAATTTTACCATTTTTTTCAGATTCAAAACATTTATTAAATTCTATGATTCTTCAACTTCTTTATTTATATTCAGAAGGTGGATTTACGTTATGCCAATGGTTTTCTAATTTGCATGAATAATGGATGTTCCAACAAGGTGTAGTTTAAAATTTGGGGGTTGGTTTTCCGAAAATTTTGTTTTTGATTTTTAATGAGTGAACGGATATGGACGTGAGGAGACATTCGACTCAGTCGATGAGCTCTTGATTGCGCTATTATTTATAAATTCTGATTTTTCACCCAAAAATGAGCTTGTATGGTTTTTTACCCTATGGTTTTTGGATTTTCAATCGAGCATATCTTTGTCCATAGGTATCGGATCAACTTCTCCCTCTTCGAGCTCAGTCGAATGACACCTCACACGTTCATATCCATCCACGCATCCTGACCAGATAGATCAGCGAATTAGAGGTATCGATAAGTTGTAACCGGGTACAGCCCAAGTAGGCGCACGGCCAAGTAGGCGCAAAGCCGTAACTTGCTTCAAGATTTCTGAATCTTGTCAAATTTAGTATTAAACGATTCCTCTCATCGAGCTAAAGAGATTGGTACCAAAATTGTTGAGGTCCAGAAATTTTCCAGCTAGTTATGGCTTTGCGCCTAGCTGGCCGCGCGCCTACTTGGGCGTGTCCCGTTGTAACCCTCATCATCCGATCAGGTTATCTCCTTTTCATTTCAAATTCGGCATAGATGGTTGTGTGCCTTCAAGCATTTTTGTATTGTTAGACATGCTGAAAGTTTACTCCTAGGTCCTTAGATAAAAATCTTTTGGGGAATAATTTAAATTTTTTGTTTTGTATTCAAAAATTGGCACTACTAAAGATGAGGGTGCTATTTCTGCGGACTTTTCCTTTCTTTTAAATGTTTTTCTTGTAGCAACTAACTGTCAAAGGCCCTCCCTCTATTATTTTTCTTACCTAAGATTGTACATAATGGTCAGATTTTCTTCTTCCTCTCCTTCCTCTATTTGCCCTGTGGCATATTCATACAAGAGACATTGATGAAGAGAAGATTAATTTTATAGATCATACACTTATTTTTTGCCTCCTAAAACAAGGTTAAACAAAAAAAGAAATAAAATTGATTTGGTGTATAACATTACGAATTTGTGTAAAACCTTTAACATTCTTATTTATTTTTAAACATATTGAACAACTGAAAAAATGTATTGAACGCATTACTGAACAACTCAATTTAAATTAATCTTCTCTTTATCAATGTCTCTTGTTTGAATAAGCCAAGCTCAAATAGAGGAAGAAGGAAATCTGACCATTTTGCACAATCTTAGGTAAGAAAAATAATGGGAGGGGGGACAGGGTTTGAAATAACCCGTATACTGTTCCAAAATCGCATGGTCTTTTTCTATGAAGCATTCCGAGATCAGTGATTCATTGTTGAAATTCAACATCGGGTAATTGAATTTTTATCATACAATTTAGTTAAAGTAAAATTTTTTATTGATTGTAACATTTTACGTTATTCAAATTAACATAAAAATGATCCTTTGACAGTTAGTTGCTACAAGCAAAACTTGCTGCAAGCAAAACAACTAAAACATTTAAAAAGAAACATTAAAAAAAGAAAGGAAAAGTCCGCAAAAAAAGTCCGCAGAAATAGCACCCTCATCTTTAGTAGTGCCCAAAAATTATTTTTTTAATTTTTTACTTTTAAATTTAGATGTGTGAGAAAAACTTTAATTGCTCCTTACTGTAATTGCGCAACCTCAATTGCTGTCCGTGCTGCTGTTGGTGGTATTTTTGCAAGTTTTTTTTTAAATTTTTGGTTGTTAAACATTGTTTACTGTACATGTGAATTTGATGGCTATCCGACATTTGGGGGATTTTAATGGGTCGAGATATGGGCCTCATAAATGGGCCGAGTTCGCACTGACAGTAAACAATGTTCCCTTGTTAGATAGGAATTGGGGACAACTTGCTCAATTGTTTCTGCTAATTATAATCGGGTGGAACCCAGAAAGTACAATGTTGCAAGGTAGAAACTATAAATAAAGTAGAATAAGTTGCAGAGTAGAGCTTTGCTTAGCTGGCTTGAAAAATTACGTGATCAGCTCGGTTTTTTTTATGAATCTTAAACGATTCTAGGTTTAAAATGGGGTTGTCTATGTTTGATCAATCGGATAAATGAACATTTTTGAGGTTCATTCAATTCTGCCCAGACATGGTCATTAGATGTTCCTGGAGTTGCAAATTGGGTTTTCACAGTTTTCACGCCCGAGGCGTGAATTAGCTATATTCTTTGGTGTCGAATACAAAGTAAATTTCGATGGGGCATCAAATTGAATCATATGGTTTCATATAGGGCCGATTTGGTAATCGTGAAGAATTG